TTGTTGTTGGTTGGTTTTCTCTCTCTTTTTTGGCACCTGGGCAAGATTTTATTTATTTATTTTATTTTATTTATTTCATTTATTTTATTTATTTGTCAAGCATGTATAAGATGATAGATATAAGTATAAACATGATTATGATTACAGGAAATGGATACAAATAAATGGAGACATTAGGACAGGGATGGTAGGCACGCTGGTGCGCTTATGCACGCCCCTTACAGACCTCTTAGGAATGGGGTGAGGTTAACAGTAGACAGTCTAAGGGTAAAGTTTTGGGGGTTTGGGGATGAAACCACAGAGTCAGGTAGTGCGTTCCAGGCATTGACCACTTTGTTGCTGAAGTCGTACTTTCTGCAATCGAGTTTGGAGTGGTTTACCTTAAGTTTGTATCTATTGTGTGCTCATGTGTTGTTGTGGTTGAAGCTGAAGTCGTCACTGACAGGTAAGACATTGTAGCAGATAATTTTGTGTACTATGCTTAGCTCAGACCGAAGGCGGCATAGTTCTAAATTGTCTAATCCCAAAATTTCGAGCCTTGTGGCATAAAGTATTCTGTTGTGAGCAGAGGAGTGGAGGACTCCTCTCGTGAAATATCTCTGGACTTGCTCAATTGTATTAATGTCCGATGTGCAGTGCAAGTTCCAGACAGATGAGCTGTATTCGAGAATTGGCCTAGCAAAGGTTTTGTATGCCTTAGTTTGCAATACAATATTACTGGTGTAGAAGCTTTACAAGATTAGATTAACAATTCTTAATGCCTTTTTGGCAATGCTGTTACAGTGAGCTCTGGCCCTTAGATCATTAGAGATGAGTACTCCAAGGTCCTTGACAGAGTGAGGGTCGTCTACAAAGTCATATCCGCCCAGCTTGTATTTGGATAAGGATTCTGGTGGCACAGTTGGGACTAGGCTCAAGTCTAATATGTACAGAGAAAAAGGCTTAAAACTGGATTTTTTGGGAGCACAGAAATCCCATCCAAGATGGTAGGAATATAAATCCCTTAGATAGGAGAACCTAATTTCCCAATCATGATGCCTTTACAGAATGAATAATATCTAGAGATAATCGAGAAAGCCAACTTTTCACTTCTCTCAGTCAAAAGCCTGAAACGCAACAGTGATTTCAACTTTAAATCTGAATATATGTCTTCCACTAAGTCATTGAGAAAAAGAAATAATTTTCTCCTTACTGAAAATATGGTAATATTTTAATCTAGCTGCTAGGGCAAAATATTTTAATTTTTGTATTCTTATTTGGCATGTGTAACTTTTTGGGGCATTTAATTTTAAATAGAATGTTTTCCTCTATAATTTATGAAAGGGGGAAAAATCTTAGTAATATATTGCTGTAGTCATTAACACTGTTTAATAGTTTCACTTGTAATTCCCTGTTTCACATGCTCATAAATTCTAAAAATATTCATCTCTCTAAGCTAAATCAAAGAAAGACTGAATGAAGTTACCCATTTTTGAGTAATGATCACGGAAAGATTTCTATACAGGCAACTAGGCTGCTTATGGAAGAATTAGCTTTACAGTTAACTTTTATGGTAAGTTTTATATCATCAACTGTTTTATAAAGGAGTAATTCCATAGGTTCCGGTAGAAATCATAATGAAGTCACAGCATTGTGCAGATGTAATTCTGATTAATAATATCCTGATTTCATCAGTTGACTCCTGATGTAAATGATATAAATGTACAGTACCTAATTTGTCTTATCTGGGCAATTTTATTTATTTATTAATCATATTTATTTGCATGCTCCTCTCACACAAAGCATTTCTGGGCAGTGACATCCTAAAACTTGTGACATCATTCATCTTTGTTCATTTTCAAATATTCTTACTCCAAAGAAATAACTACTTGCTGAGGGATCAAAAGAATACTGAAATGTACAAGAAAAAAATATGTAATCCTTTCTCCTGAATTCAAATTTCCTCGACCTTCTACCCAATCTGTGAAAATGATGGCCATGAATTTTGAACACTGTAGTCCTACCTATCTGGATATTATCAAGCCAGGGACTATTTCAATACAGTACCTTTGTAACTTCAAATGGCTGCTGAATGAATGGTTATAACTTAAGGACTACCTGTATGTAGACAAAGTATGTTTTAGGGATTACACTAAAATAAACACCTGTCTACATGCATGACAGTTCCTTGGCCATTTTGGTGCCAAGCTGTTCTAAATGGCGTCTTCAATCCATTAAAATACTTCCAAAACACAATCTTAGGTGATTTCCCAAAAACAAAGTTTGCTGATCTATGTTAAACTGCCCAAAGAGCTGCTGATCCAGTTCTACAGAGGAATTATTGAGTCTGTCATCTGCACCTCTATAACTGGTTTGGTTCTGCAACCCAACAAGACAGACACAGATTTCAAAGGATAATTAGAACTGCAGAAAAAACAATTACTACCAACCTGCCTTCCAGTGAGGACCTGTATACTACACAAGTCAAAAAGAGGGCTGTGAAAATATTTACAGACCCCTCACATCCTGGACATAAACTGTTTCAACTCCTACCCTCAAAACGATGCTATAGAGCACTGCACACCAGAACAACTAGACACAAGGACAGTTTTTCCCCGAATGCCATCACTCTGCTAAACGAATAATTCCCTCAACACTGTCAAACTATTTACTAAGTCTGCACTACTATTAATCTTCTCATTGTCCCTATCACCTATCTCCTTCCACTTATGGCTGTATGACTGTAACTTTGTTGCTTGTATTCTTACAATTTATATTGATTGTTTCCTAGTATGATTCAATTGCTTATTTGTATCCTATGACTATCATTAAGAGTTGTACCTTATGATTCTTGATGAATGTATCTTTTCTTTGATGTACACTGAGAGCATATGCACCAAGACAAATTCCTTGTGTGTCCAATCACACTTGGCCAATAAAGAATTCTATTCCATTAAAAAAAAAAGTTGTCGGTGTCAGCTGCCTTGTGACTCACTACATTAATCCTTATGGGGAAAAAATTGTTTGGTTTTTTTTACCAAATCATTTTTGGTACTCATCACACCTCCTGGGACCAATTAACAATGAGTACCAAGCTACCACTGTAGGGGTTGTTCAGGAAGCACCTTAAACTTAATATACATTATGGCAAATGTGCCATTGATTTTCATCAATTCAGCAGTTCTAGTGGGAAGGAGTTCCAGAGGCTAAAGGAGGGGATTAAGGCTGACTCTCTAGTCAACATCTCCATTTGATGGCGCATCCTTTGCTGTCCTGTAAACAAGTTCTCCTAGAGCATTTCACAAAAATATCAAAAGTGTGTGCAGCACAGTGCCACAATAAATTTAACAGTTAATTAACAAGAGCAATTTCCGTTGCAAATTCAGTTTAATGTCAATGTTTTCATGCTGCATAATTAAAGTGAAAATCTTTAAAACACACACACACACACACACACACAGAGGGAGAGACAGAGAGAGAAAGAAAGAGAGAGATCAAATCTTTTTTTCTTTCTTTCAAAGAGAGAAATGGAACAGTTCCCTCTATTGGTTTACATTTTTCCTAAACCGGAGCTGTTCTCCATTCTTTCAGAGATGGACTAAGAGCAACACATCGAAATGAATCAGGGTAAGCACACCAACTAAAAACATAGGGTTACCTCCCACTCCCTCTTTTCAAAACATAAAATATTAACCTCACAGTTAGCTCCTGCTCATTCCTCCTTCTGTAGCATGTTGGAGACACATATATTTTCCTCGGTTAACGCTCTAGAGATGATCGTATGAGACATTTCACATGAAAAACATTTCTCGATACAACTGTATACTAAACAGCGAAAACTACCGGTAACCTCAGCCAACCTTCCACCACAGGTAAGTGAGACAAGGTGAATATTTCAGGAACTTATAGCTATATATATGGCATTATTTGTCATCAGTGTCATTTTTTTCCCCTCCGCTTCCATCACGGCTTGGGAAGGAGTATAAATGGTCTCAACTGGAGTCACCAAACTGGTCCCCATGGTTCCCTCCATAGCTTTCTTGTCTTCCTCCATCTTCCCTGAGTCTGGTTTCAGATCAATGTTCAGGGTTCAGGACCCCGGACAGCACCCCAGTATCCGGGGAGCTGGTTGAATTTTAAAGGAGATTTGGATTAATGTCAGGGTTCTAAGTAATACCCCCCAATGAAAGAAAACTCTGAGTTTCCTCAAAGTTCCATTTTTATTAGAGATGTCATATTGGCACATCCGGGAAAACCCAAATCTGAAAGCTTCCAGGTTTTCCCCACCCAAAGGAAAGTTCAAGATCCTGCCCAATACCCACATGTCCATCACATGGTCCAATCAAAGCAACATCCCAACTGGAGATGCCTCCCAGTTCCAGCCCTCCAGATGCAGGGCAAGATGTCCTTGACTCTCTGAGAAAGGAATGTTATTTTGACTATATATATCACCCTGGCTCCACACAATCCTCCCCCTCCCAGTTTCCCACAGTAGGAAATGTGGCAGGCCTGAAGATCCAGCGAAAAACATGGCTTCCAGGCCTGACAATCAGGCCTTCAGATGTTCTCTTGAATATACATGTAGTGTTTGTCTTACAATCACAATTGAGCTCAAACTTTCTCTTGCTAAGCAAGACCGTGATTAAGTGAGTTTTGCTGCATTTTACAACTTTCTCGCCACAGCTGTTAAATGAATCACTGCAGTTGTTAAGTTAATAACACAGTTTGTCAGGTTTCGAGGTGGTCTCAAATAAATTGCATTTCAAACAAAGTCTTGTGTGAAATCCGGCTTCCCCATTGACTTTGCTTGTGAAAAAGTTGCAAAAGGTGATTACACAACTCAGGACATTATAACTGTCATAAATAGGAGTTAGTTGCCAAATGTCTGAATTTTGACCCCGTGACCACAGGATGCGGTGATGGTCGTAAGTATGAAAAACAGTTCATAAGTCACTCTTTTCAGTGCTGCTGTTGCAACTTCAAACAGTACCTAAATGAGCTGTTGTAAGTCGAGGACTTACCTGTAGTTAGAACAGAGAGCAAGCATCTACATTTCGATTCACTTTCATTAGAAAAAATTGGCTGGATTGGGCTAGGAAAAAAAAAGAAATAATTTTTGATGTTGTTTCAGCATAAATCAGCTTTGTCGTAAATAAATAACCTTAAAACATTTCGCTTACATCTGTTCTTGAGTCTAATTGGTTCAACTCCCGAAACAGGTAATCTCCTTGAGGTTTTATTTATTTATTTTAAATATTTTATTAATTTTTCAATAAACACAAAACCAAAAACATACATACAAAAATAGAAAAAAAAAGAATACAATAGATACCAAAAAAAGAAAGAGAAAGAAAGAAAAAAGAACATTTTTATGCAGAACTGTGGCCATTTACCAAACTTATCCCTATAAAATACTTATGCTCTATATATTTTACTTCATCAAATTTTGTTATGTCTGAACCTGTTTCATCTTTCTCTTTTTAATCCATTTGTACCATTTCTCCCATGATATATAATACTCCGAGTCTGTCATTCCTTTCAATTCTAATGTTAGTTTGTCCATTTCAGCACAGTCATAATTTTTTTTGATTATTTGATCCTCGGAGGGCGTCTTCACATTTTTCCAACATTGAGCAAAAGCCAATCTCGCTGCTGTTGTTATATGTAAAATCATATGTCTTGTCTTCTTATCATAGGTTTTTCCCATTGAGATTTTATTTATTATTTGCTTATTTATTAAGAAAATTATGGTCCTCCAGCACACATACATTAGGCCGTTACCATAAAGAAAATAAATTAAAAAGTAAGACAGAATCTTATCCAAAAGAAACCTCACCTTCAGCAGCACGATGGCCCTGCTGACCCAGGAAATATGCTAATAGAAAATTTAAATCAGGGGTGTCTATCCTTGGCAAACTTGTGAACCTGTGAACTTCAATTCCCAGAATTCCCCAGCCAGCCAATTCTCGGAGTTGAAGTCCACAAGTATTAAAGTTACCAAGATCGGACACCTCTGATTTAAAGTATATAACAATAACAACAACAACAATAATAATTTTATTGTCATTGAACGTGTATACACAGTATACCCATACAACGAAATTCACTTAATACCCAAAGACCAACACACATAACAATCCCCAAACACCCCCCATCCCCACCACAAATTCCCCGCCCCTAAACCACCCAAACATCCACACAACAGACCAAGTAATACTGTCCAACAGCTCACTGATGGTGGCCCTTGAGTTCATTGTTGAGTGCAATTATAGCTCTGAGATAAAAACTATTCAGAAAACGTGCGGTCCGAGTTTTAATTGTTCTGTATCTTCTGCTGGAAGGCAACAGTCCAAAAAGATTGTAAGCAGGATGGGAAGAGTCTCTGATAATGTTACGCAACTTCCTCAAATAACGAGATTTGAAGATGTCGTCCAGGGCTGGTAGCTGGAGTCCGATGATATTCTGGGTAGTTTTAATGATTCTCTGTAGAGCTTTTTTGTCCGCTACAGAACTGCTCCCATACCATGCAAGAATGCTGTATGTCAGGACACCCTCAATGACGCTGCGATAGTAGGACAGAAGTAGATGCTGAGATAGGTTTAACTTCCTGAGCATTCTCAGGAAGTACAGCCTCTTCTGAGCCTTCTTCATATGATATATTACATGAAAGTACCACAACAAAAATCCCCATCATTTTATATACTTGTAGTGCTGCTGAAAGGAATCCAAAACGTATCACATTTACAATTTGGTACCCTTTCCAAAAACGAATAGTCATAATTTTAGAGAGAAAGCTGTCAAAATATGTTCTGCAAACACCTTGGCAAGAGATGCGGGCAACTGGAGTAATTCTGTGAAAATGGAAAGAATGCCAAAGAGAAATGTGTTTTGATCTTCTAAGCAGGAACCCATCCAAGAGAAAAATTCTGTACATATATTATCATGAAACTATTAGAAATAATTAGCCAGATATTTCAAAACATTACATTATCAAATGTGTTATCAACTCAGTGCAAATGTGGGGGTCTATTTCATTCTTTGCTAAACAAATGGATTTCTATCTTTAAAAATAATCAACGGTGACTTATTGTACCATAATATAGTTTATAAACTTTGATGGAGTAGTTAAAGCTTCCAGTTCTTTTCGAAATTCTCCAAATGTTAGATTTCTGTAGCCTTCCACAATAAATTCTGAATCTGTGCAGTGAAAAAAAAATCACAATATAGACAGCTAGGGATAGTCCTAAAACTAGTAGTGATCTATATGCTCTGTGCAGAATGGGAATAGATAAGGTACAATGCAAAATTTAAACTTTTTTTTAGGATGCAGTTAGAGGGATTGTCATCACTTTGTGTACAAAATACAAAACATTTTGCCCTGTTTCATTTTATAAGCCTAGGTATAAATTATGAAAAATTATGAAATTTGGGTATCAGATTATTAGTGCTATTTCTGCAATATTTTCACAATTCTGTTTGTCCTTGGATGTCTGTCAGGGTTCATGTAACGATTATCATATTTTCCTTCAAAATGATAGGAAACTACCATTTTTCAGCTGCTGTGATTAGAGAAGGTTCTATGGGCTGCATTAAAGATGTTAGGCCTGCATTTGGTCCAAGAAATATTCTTTGCTCATCCTTGATCTAAATCAGTGTTCTGTGGACCACTGGTGGTCTGCGAGAAAATTTTGGTGCATTTTTTATATTGCACTAAATCAGGGGTCCTCAAACTAGAGCCCCTGGGCCAGATACGGTCAATGAACACTTGTGTTGCTGCCGAGAGTCTTCCCCTTCAGGGTCTTTTTGTGCGGGTTGGAGGGGGGCAGAAATTCTGACTTGGGGTCTGCTTCCATCTCCTGGTGTGGGGCTTTGGGTGAAGGCTGGAGGGAATTGCCGCTGGTAGTGAAGAGCCGGAGGACCTTGTTCCAGTGGGACTGCATCATGGCCTGGAACTGACCATCTCAGCCCGCTGAGCCTCCAGGCACCGGTACCTGGTCTTGAACTCCCTCAGGTCTTCCGTCCGCTTGGAAAGTCTATGCTCGTAGTCCTCAGTGAGGTGCTTCTACCGAGGCTCCTTCTCGGTCAGATCCAATTTAAACTGAGCCAGCTGTTTTGCCAACTGTTTCTCATGGTGGCTGCTTAGCTCCAACAACTGCTTCTTGTTGGGGCCCTAAGGAACCTGGGTGGGCAGGGAAGGAGTGGCTGGGAGGGGGGGCGAGTAGTGGCTGGCGAGGCACTCTCAACGTGAGTGACATCAAGTTGGCCACATCCACCCAGTCACATGACCACCAAGCCACGCCCACACAGCCAGTCATTAGGCAGATCATATTAGTGGTCTGTGGGATTTATAATTATGAATTTAGTGGTGCCTGAGGTCCAAAAGGTTGGGGACCCCTCATCTAAATGATAGAACCATTTGGGTTGCTGGGCATGGCTGGGCGTGTAATTTACTATTAGCACAACCACTGAGTACAGAGTAAAACTGAAGTACTTGAGATGCGTCAAGGTTATTGAACAAGATCATGTGAAATCACGTCTTTTTTATCACTATTACTTAGGAACCACAGTTGCAATTCTAAGTAGAAATAGCACGTAGACTTATGTACCGCTTCACGGTGCCCCCTCTAAGCAGTTTACAGAGTCAGCCTCTTGCCCCCCCCCCCAACCATCTGGGTCCTCATTTTACCCACCTCGGAAGGATGGAAGGCTGAGTCCACCTTGAGCCAGTCAGGATCGAACTCCTGGCAGTGGGTAGAGTTAGCCTGCCATACTGCATTCTAACCACTGCGCCACTCTTAAGTAGCAGAGGATCCAACTAGAACTCTTCCACGTTTCTGTACAATCCCAAAGGCTTCGTTTTTCCTAAACAGCCAAAGTTCTCTATCTTTTTCATCGTCCAGGAAAACTCTTCCCCTATCTTGGAAGGGAAAAACCCAAAATGTGTTTTCCCCCGCTTTTCATTCACCCATTCTGCAGCCCTGGTGGCTCTTAAAATGCAGAAGTTGTTTCCAAAGAGACAACGTTAGTTTTATTTTATTTTATTTTTATTTTTTTTGCTGTTTGAGCTATCTGTATTTAATATCCTGTTAAGCAGCATTAACTTTTAACTTGCCATAAAACCCAATAATGTTATTTATCAAGTCGTTTTAATTACCAAGAACAGATAAGCATATGTCCCAGTTAGTCTGGGAGCAAAAAAAAAAAAAAGGAAGGAAAAAAAATCTCGAATGTGCACCTGCTCTGACAAAGCAAAAAGACGTGAGGGAAATATTTGAATGCTGCCTCCTTCCTTCCAGCGCACCATTTTTAAAAAAGCCGCTTCCAGCGCTGAGCAAGACTTTTTACAGTCAAGGCATTTTACAAGATGATACCGAGGGTGTTTCCTCTCTATGAAGAAGGCACTGGCGTATAAAATGCTAGTGAATTTGCATTACCACCAATCCATCATTCTTTGAGTGCTTGAGAGAGAGAGAGAGAGAGTAAAAAAAGAAATAGAAATCTGGGAGACCTTTTGCAACAAAGCATAGCCTTGTGTTGACAGATTCTTATTTAAGTGACTGTGAATACCACAATTCCACAAATAATTTGTCAAATGTGAGGCTGAACTAGTTCTGAACCCTGATAAATACCAACTCTTTTTTCTGTTGCAACAAAAAAGCAGGACATTCTCTATGTGGACAATGGGGAACGAGCACCGGGACTGACCAATCAATGCAACGTTCTTTCTCTTCTTTTTGCGGTTTTGGGGTAGACACTGGACAGAGAAAGAACCCTGAAGACAGCGTCCTTCAGCAGTGTTAACTGTAGTTATGATTGGCACTACTTGGCAAATCTGTGGATAGTATTGTTGGCTTTTGCGAAAGGAAAAAAGGTATGATGCCTCTCCCCAAGCGGAATTTACAGCATCCGTTTACATCAATGGATGGAGAGGATCTGTTTTCAAAGAAGAAAAAAAAAACCCAAGAAAGTCCATTTGCCTTTTCTAAAAAGCACCTTTCGGACAGCCATGACCTGGAGGATTGAAAATACCCCTTAGACATTAGGGTGGACATGTCAGGCTCAATAGCAATAGCACTTAGACTTATATACCACTT